AATATAGTAATTGAAAAAATATAATTTTTTTTTTTCTAATACTCATAATAGACATAGAGAAGTACCGCTAAGACTGAAAGGAAAATTTTATAAGATGGTGGTGAGACCTGCAATGCTCTATGGCGTTGAATGTTGGCCTTTAAAAGAGAAGCATAATAATAAGTTAAGTGTTGCCGGGATGAGAATGATTAGGTGGATGAGTGGCTTTACACTTAGAGACAAAATGCGGAATGAATATATTCGTGATAGGGTTGGTGTAGCTCCTGTGACAGACAAAATTAGAGAAAGTCGTCTTAGATGGTTTGGTCATATTAAACGTCGACCATTAGATGATCCGATTAGGAGAGTAGATGTTTTAAATTCGACTTGTGTTAAGAAAGGTAGAGGTAGACCTAGGAAGACTTGGGCTTATTGTATTAAAAATGATCTTAATTTACTAGAACTAAATGAAAATATGACACTAAATAGGACGCATTGGAGAAAAAGGATTCATGTAGTCGACCCCACGTAGTGGGATTAAGGCTTTGTTGTTGTTGTTGTTGCTCTCGCGAAACAGTCCCACAGCCCTACCTTTCCTCTTTCGAAGGCGTCGATCCTGCCTCCATCGATACCCGAATTCGCTCCGTAGGTAAGGAATCTCTTCTCCTCCCTCCGCTTCTCCCTCCTCTCCCCCATTTGGCTGAAAGCCTTCTTGATTTTGGACGATCTATCTATTGAATTTACGGTAAATCTGGAAGTGTTGAGAGGAAATGGCTAAAAACCTAGATCCAGTTGTTGGGAATTGAGTATTGCTGGTAAAAATCTAGATCCACTTTTTTTTACTGAAATTTTTGAAGCATCGAGAACGATTCCTCTGATATTTGAAATACTACGAATTTGATATTATGGTTCTCTCTCTCTCTGTAATTTTCTCTTCTGCTCTATTATTGAGTTGTTTCTTCATGTTAGAGTGGGAATGTGTTTGAACCGTGAAACATTTCTAAAATGTTTCCTCCGCATTCAATGAAGTGGTTTATTTCGAAGTGCAAAAAACCAAGGTTTTTTATTATGCTTCGAGGGTGTGCATCTCTAGTCTTGACTGAGCTGAGGTTTTTGCTAACCTAATATTATGACTGGAAGTTTTTTATGGTAGCTTTGGAATGAAATTTTTCTGGTAAAGAAATGCCTGATCTTGATTTTATTTTCACTTTTCATGATGAAGGAATATGTACAGCTTCTTGAAAAAAAGGAAAAAGAAATCGATGCTTATGCTTTTGAAGGGAAGAACAGAACCATTCTTGAAAAAAATTAGTTCGAGTAGTTCTTAAATCACTACTCCTATGTGTTTGAAGGGAAGAACAGATCTATTCTTTATGAAAAAAAGGAGTTTTACATAAATATCAGTCAATTCTTATTTATTTTTGTATGTAACAGACATGCTTCATTTTTTAAATGTATACCGCTTTACATATGCACTAAAGTTAAATTTTGGTGTTAGATATGGTACTAGATAAGAATTGGTTGGTATGCATGCAAATATCAAAATAAAAAGATTGCATCTTTTTATTTCAAAAAAATAGCTGAGGGGTAGACATTACAACTTTTGTGTACCATCTTTTTCATTTAACTAAAAAAATCTGTAAATCAGTTGCTTACAAAACACGCAAACCAAACAGCTAAACAGCTTATCCAGAACATGGGCAAATTAGTCATTTATCCAGAATCAGTTGTTTTCCAAACGCAGAAACAAAATAGTCAGCCAGCTTATCCGGATCAGCTGATCATCAGTAGATTATTAGAATAAATTGTTTATCAGCATAAACTGGATAAGCTGCAGCAGCCCCAAATAGACCCCTAGTGTAAGCTAAAAATTTTACATACTTGATAATCATATAGACTGTGCTAATGAAATAGACATGCGCACAGTACATCGGCCAAACATCTGTAGTGGTTCATAACATAAAGCTCCGTAGAGTTTCATTATACTAGAATGAGATAAAATTTAGCCTACAGGAAAAATAATATTCCTGCTTTGCATCATTGAATCCGAAATTTTAGCAAGTACGTTAACATTAAGTGGTGAAACGCAATGCAAACATGCTACCTTAAAGATAAAATTACCTCAAAATTTAAATAGCATACAAGATCAGTATGCAGCAAAAAATAAGGAAGAATTAACTCTTACGTATCTCACAAAAAATTTTAGACAAGAAAACTGCGTAGATTTAACTTACGGATCAGGGTCAATGGTAAGTACAACAATAATCGGTAGTATGCGAGTTGCAATCTCTGTCATATCATAATAGGTACTCGTGGCACATAAAGCCATTATTCCTGCCACAGCCCATTTATATAAATACTCAACTCACAAGAGGAAATATTAGAAATAAAATTAAAATAAAAACAAGTTTATCCAAGGAGACAAAAAATATCCACATTTTATTAATATAACATGCCTGCTGCACGAGCTGGAGAGAAACTGTCGCGCAAAGCACGTGCAGTAAATGCATTTATTAATACTCTCTTCCTCATCTGCAGAATTCATGCATCAGTTATTTTGCAGTCGATAAATGTGCTAAGTGGCTAATTATTAGCATGAACTAATTTAGTTGCATAGCCTTCAGCACTGGCAATAGTCTAACGAAGCTGATGTTAAGGGACCAATACAGACCCCCTCATTTAAGTAGCTGGCTATGTTCCCCAGTAGAATTGTGGTATTGGTTCTAATTGCTGGTTCTTCATCCACCTGCCAATTGTCATACAAAATAAAATAAAGACGATAGATCTTACAAAATTTCTACATAATATGACATCCTAAAGATATTCAGAGTTACAAAAATCAATAACGAAATAAAGGGCATTACGTTCATAGAAAACACTTCAAATTACCTGCAATTTTGATAGATACTTCAATAAGGAGCCTGAAATTGTACGTTGAGACAACTGCAACCATGTAGGGAGAAATCAATTATTTCTTCATAGCCACGAGATAATAAAAAAAAATCATAGAAATCATTGCTGTCAAAAGGACCATGATTAATTATACTAAGAAAGAATTACCAATTAAAATGACACTATGGAATGCATTCTTACGAAAATTACTTAGAAAAATGTTGCACGAACTAGGTGGCAAGGTGCACTCATCTCTCATTAAGCTCGCAACTTGGAAACGGATGCAGATCTTAAAAGTCATTATTCATTGGAAACCAATATTATCTACATTTTGTTGTCACTATAAATATATATTTTTAGTTTTCCAGAGATTAATTTGAATATAACACAACTATGATGTTGGTGCCTATGAAAATGATTTGTGTTTTCAAATTTCTGATTACCTCATTTAGTTTCATCCAGCTCTGACTCCTTAGTTCAACAATATCTGATTTTTTGCTTCAGCAAATGGTCGACACCCCCTTTTTCCTTTCCAGTTAATAATAAGCCACAAGTTTAGAGATAAATATTGTTATGGTCATTGATTTGGTGTTCTGATACTGTAAAAATAGGTCCGTTGTTTCCGCACAACTTGTGATTTTGAGATGTGATTGTGGTTGATGTTTATTATTGCATCATTGTTTTTCCTCCAAGGTTCTAGCTAGATTAACCATAACACAGCTTTACTTTCCCATCTTTTCTTCCAGGTTATACCTAAGGGCTGTTTGACTCAATTAGGATTTAAATTTAATAGAATTTAGTAAATCCCTAAATCCGCCAAACTCAATGAAATATTAAATCTGGGATTTAGGCAGAATCAAAGGTAAAATTGGATTTAGTAAATCTGCAAATCCACCGAAATCCTGCTCATGCCGTTGGACTGAATTTAATAAATACTATTAAAACCTCTACCAAACAGCCCATACATTAGCAATACTGCCCTTTTCCTTGCTGAATTCTAGCATCTGGCTACAGTAATCTATCGAGTAACTTGTACTTCACATGTCTTTGTCCGACAACTTGTTTCAGCCTTCCACACCATCCTATTGAAAGCAAGTTGGCAAATGCATTTCCATATTCGGTTTTTGAACTTTGTTGGTAATTGACTAATTGGTTTTCAACTATTCTTGTTAATGACATTATAACAGGAAACGGGAATAGTTGGAAACGATATTTTAAAGATAAAACCTACTGTTCTGCTGAAAATAAAGTTGAGAACTTGTTTTTTGTTAGAATCCAAGTGATATCGGAGCTAATCCAAATCACAACCAAACAACAAATTATGGTTGACTTCAAAGGTTACAAAGATGAATCCTCAAACATAAAACAACACAAACATGCAAACAACATGTGTCAACGACGACTCTGCAAAATAAGAAAACAGCACAAAACACAAAAACGACCCTCTAGATGAGAGCATTGGGCCCGGAAGGAAAGGAAGAGAGCGGCGGCAGTTCTGGAAGATGTCAGGCAGCAGGTGGTTGGGGCACTGTAGGGCGTAGGAGTGATGGGAGACTGATGGGAGGAGGCTGGCAACAGCTTGCTGCGGCGTAGAAGGAAGCAGGTGAGGTGGCAGTCAATTGCAGGAAGAGGCGGTCCTGGGCTGGACAGCAGCAAGAAGAGGCGGTCCTGGGCTGGACAGCAGCAGGAAGAGGCCCTAGATGGGCTGGTGGTAACAAGGATAGGCCCTGGAAGGGCTGGTGACAGCAAAGACAGGCCCCGGTGGGGCTGGCCATAACAGGCCTTCAAGGGGTAGGCGTCAGAAACCACATGCCCTGGAGGGGCTGACAGTACCAGGAAGGATGGAACTAGCGAACATAAGCACCACAATGGACGAGTTACAGCCGGAGCACCATCTCGCCGTCAGATAAACACCGGAGACAGAAATCTGAAATAAAAAATAATAAGGAACTAAACCTTTATAAGAAATAGGTACTAGCAGTTAGAATAGGATGGAATTAGAATTAGAATAGGAAGGCATAGAAAAGGTAAGGAAGAGAAATAGGAAAGGAAGGAGGGCAGCCGATTTGGAAAGGGAGAATCCTCTCCCTTTGGGCGGCAAGTCCCCTAGGCTGGGTTGCGGTCCTGTAGCAGCTATAAAATCGCGTCCATAGTAAGCTCTTGCATCAATCTCTCAAGATTTTGGAAAGTTTCGACCTCATTTGTCAAAACTTCTGTCTTCTCATCATATAACGTCAAGTCGGTCATGTTGAAGGTGGTGAAAACGTTGTAATCTCAGTAAGTCCATCATGTTAGCGCTGATATTCCATAACACATCATGAATAAATTCTATTCTGACACAATCATAACTAAAACTAACAGTGATGAACATCCTTACAAATCAGGCCTCGAGCCATCAAATCTGTAATTGGCTTCTTCCACTCTTAATACTCATCCGAGTGCATCTGATAAACAAGCATGTAAGGAGGAATCAACTTTGGGACGAAATCTATGGCAAACTAGACCACACTGAAGTATAACCACTCAGGAAAGGACTCTTCTCCTTCCTCTCTAAAAGAACCTGAATCCCATTGGAGAATTCTCTTCCTCATAAAACTCCAAAGATAATTTTCAAAACTGTGGTTCCTCCCTCTTGTCTGGACATTTGATGTTGGGTACACTGCTGAACAAAATCTATCTGAACTACTCTACATAATGTTCCAAAAGTAACTCAAAATCTTCTCATCTTTGACGAGTTGGACCTCCCTAAATAGGCGCAGCTCAAGAGGTAGGCTATATATCTGAAAAGTTTGAAATCTTCGAATATTAAGTTGCCCTGTGTCTAGTATTAGCTCAAACTTATGGCCCTTTCGAATATCCAATGTCACTCCTGCTGATGCTCCTTCGATTGCCTGCAAAATATAGTTCGAGACACCATAACCTCATAATCTAATAAACGTCCACTACCTTGAATTCACTGCCTTCTAGAACAGTTACTGTCAACTTAGCTAGAATCTCTCTCTTGGGTTCAACTGAAATCAATGACTTCATTTCCTCCCATGCTAGTAGTTGGTACTCCTCTTTTATGCCTCACTCTCTTTTGTGTCTACTATATCATTGTTTATTTCTTCAATTGCTCCATCATCAGTGAAAGCAATCACTCCCCTGGTTGTGCAACCCTACTCACTATGCTCAAACCCGTAGCACCTGAAGCACTTCTTGATTGGGATGGATGTAGGGATGTGGCTTGGTACCCCCTGTTCTCCACTCTGAATCAAATTTTCCTCTAATGGGGTCAGCTTAGATGTTCTCTTCTATAAGACTCTGAGATTGAATCCTGCCTAAAGATGTGGAGGTCGTTTAGTGAAATCTCTCCACTTCTGAAACTAGGGTTTGAACATTTTGTCTAAAGTAAGCTAGTAGGAACTGGCGCTGCATCTGTCACATCATCTTGGACCAGGCGGTAATCTTAACTTTTCCATCATGTTGGTTGTGGTTTAGGTTGGGAGGTGAAAGAAGGTGTATGAGACTAATTAAAGGTATAGGAAAATCATTTTGGGATTTCTAATTTTGAAAATCAGCAAGAGAAGGTCCAAAATTTGGTTATAGTTTGGAATATGAAAGAAATTTTTTTGGCAGAGGTGGCTCAGGGAGGGAAAGTTGCTAGGAAATCTTGGGATATGACAAAGGTTGAATTAGCTCTGATACCAAATGATATCGGAGTTAATCTAAACCAAGCCCGAACGACATTTTATTGTTGAATCAAAAGTTACAACAACGAATCCTCAAAAACATAAAACAACACAAAAATGCAAAAAACAGGTTCCAACGACTACTCTGTAAAATATAAAAGAAAACAACACAAGACATATAAATGGCCCTCTAGAGGAGAGCGATAGACTAGGAAGGAAAGGAAGAAAGTTGCAACAATGCTGGAAGGTGTTGGGTGACAATTGGTTGCGACACTGGAGGACGTAAGAGTGATGGGGGACTACTGTGAGGAGGGTGACAACAGGTAGTTGCGACATGGGAGGGAGCAGGAAAGTGGGAGTGAACTGGACAATAGTAGGAAGGGGCGGCTATGGGGTGGAGAACAACGAGAAGAGGCTCTTGCAGGTAGGACAACAACAGAAAGAGACGATTGTGGGTTGGACAGCAGCAGCAAGAGGACCTAGAAGGGCTCGCGGCAACAAGGACAGGCCCTGGAGGGGTAACTTCTCCAGCAGGAAGGATGGAACGAGCAGAGATAATCACCACCACGAAACGAGTTACAGCCAAAGTAACTTCTCACCGTCGGATACAACCCTGTGAAAGCAGAAATGATGGAGGCAGAAATTTGAAAACAGAAATAATCAGGAACAAAACCCTAAGCTAGCATATATATATATATATATATATATATCAAAATGGCGGTGACGCGCGCTCTGCTAGGATTTTCTCCATGGCGATTTCCGACGTTGAAAATCTATTCTTTCATTCCATAGTCGACGTCGGTTCCCGTCGGCGCAACTTTTGCTTGCAGGCTCGCACGTCGATATGAGGTTTGGCTGCGTCATTGCAGTCAACTCTTTACACTCCGTCATTTTGCTCGCAGGCCCGCACGACTATTTTGGCTCTGTCTTTAGGCTGATTCATCTTCCTCCTCGTTCCATCTCGATAGAAGCATCTTCGGCTTGGCCTCTATTGGCTACGTCGTTGCCGATGCTGCTCCCTGTTGCAGTCTTGCAGTGCTTTCTGCTCCGTCCGCTGCACTGCCCTATCTCCTGCAGTGCTTGTGTGAAGCACACTAATGGCCTTCGGGATTTCCAACGCTGCCTCCCTTGCCAATGATAACCCCGCCAAACCTCCTATGCTATAGTAGTTCACAACTGCGGCTCCTATTTCCACCTTGCAGATAGTCCAATATTCTCGCAGATGTACCATGATTCTGTTGCAGGATATGGAGATTGCAATCTCATCAAAGAAGTAGAGAAAAAGACAGGCAAACCAACAATATTCTTCTCTGATGCTGAAATTTCAACTCGTACAGGAAAATACAAATTTACACTAGTTAGAAAGTTCCAATTAGGTTT